CTCTCTCTCTCTCTCTCTTTCTCCATCTCTCTCTCTCTCAGATCGAGCTCGCCATCCTCCGCTTCCCGTACGACTCGTGGGGCACGCCCTTCCAGCAGCTGAAGCAGGTGGTGGAAGAACCTTCGCCCCAGCTTCCTGTCGACCAGTTCTCCCCAGAGTTTGTGGACTTCACCTCTCAGTGGTACGTCTCCTCCTGTCGCTGCCTCCGTCCACACATCTGTAAATCAGGTTCCAGCTGAGGAGGCTTCAGTTGGAAGAATAACACAGTTCCCACCTCCTCCCATCGGCCCTCTGGTCAAAGCTCCTTCCACAAAACACACGAACGAGCACGAACGACTTCAAGACTCATGTTGTCTGATTTTAATAGAAATAAAAAGTTTATTTTTTGCTTCTTGCAGCTTAAAGAAAGTTTCCAAGGAGAGGCCGACGTACACAGAACTCATGGTGAGTGTCCTCCTGCTTTCCCTGCATGCATCTCGATAATCAGACACCGGGGGGCGCTCTTACACAAGTAACTGTACGTGGCCGAGCGGCTGAAACTGATGATCAGACTAACGTGATGTCGGTCTCCTCCTCAGCAACATCCCTTCTTCACCTCCCACGAGGCCAAAGAAACCGACGTGGCTTCCTTTGTCAAAGTCATCCTGGGGGACTGAGTCGGCCTCGTGCTCTGGATCTGAGGGAGGGTCTGTTCTTAAAAGAAGCACCAATCGCAGCCCCTGTTACCTGCAGGACCCCGCCCACCTCACACCTTACACCTCGCCATTGTTCCCCCCCCCCCCACTGATACACGGACAGATGCTGATGAAGCAGAACGAGGAGTTTGTCCCCGACCCTCCACCTCCACATCCTGACATGTGAGGGTGGGGGGTGCAGGCTGTCACACGTAATCTGGACTCATTTAAAATGTCTGTATGCAAACGCTCCCTCTGTGGTTAGATTAGTCCCGCCTCTGCCGCCTATTGCTCGTCAGCAGGTCGACTGTGATTCGTCAAACAAGCGAGTCGGTGAAGAGCGGAGCAGATTATATAAAAAAAGATGAATGTTATAATCTATCTATGTATAATCTAAATGTTTGTATACTCAAAGCAAGTGTTGCATCGGTTTATTAATTGACTGCATGTACAGAATTATCTCCAGATGTTCCAGAGAGAACAGCTGCAGAGCCTCACATCAGGGCCCTCCCGGTGGCCACTCATAGGTACTGCACGTCCACTGATTTCTCTTGATTACAGCAGAGGTTGACTAAACGTCCTGGGGCTCTGGCTGCCTGTGTGTGTGAGTGTGAGTGTGTGTGTGTGTGTGTGTGTGTGTGTGTGTGTGAGTGTGTGTGTGTGTGTGTGTGTGTGTGTGTAGAGCTGCATCATTCTGGATAAAAGTGATTATTTGACGAACAGGTTTGTTTTGAATGGATTTCCGTCTCGTGCAGTCGAGCAGCAGGTTTACGTCCTTGGAACCTTCGTAATTGTCCAATCACAAAAAAACACGAATCCAAAAAGAATGTGATCATTTTTTTCTGTGACGATAAAATATTTGTCAGAATTTACGTTGCGTAATATTTATTTAATTCTGACAAATCCTGGATTTTATTCAGCTCTAGTTTTTTTTGTCACCACATTGGGGCCGACACAAATTCAATTTTTAGATAGAAATTGATTTGAACTTTGACATTTAAATAGTTATATATCTGTTTTATTATAAAGCTTATCATACGTATATTTGACACTCATGCCCCCTGCTGGTGGAGGTAAACTGAAGGGAAAACGAGAGGCTCGTACTTTTATCTGCTGACGTCACAAATCCAGATTCTGCAGAGAAACAGGAAACAACTTGATTTTAAATCCAGAGCGTCGTGCAGCTCTATGTGACACACACATGTTAAATTGAGCTTTGTGTGTTTGTGTGCGTGTGTGTTGACATTGTGGTCAGTTGTTGGAGAAGAATTTTCTCCTCGTCGTCTGTACTGAGCCAATCACAACCATCTCCACTCCTTGTTCAACATGAAAAGAACTGGATATTATTACTATTATTATTAATATTATATTAATTATTGTTGTTGTTATTATTTAGGTCCAGGTTTTTTTCCCCTCACACGTATTTACTGCAGTTTCTCTTATTTATTACATCTGCTGTTTTCCCTCTGAAGACTTGACGGATCCATTAGAGACGTTTCTCGTGTGTTCACGTGGCCTGTGTTTGTTTTATTTTGTCGTGTTCTTCTTGGCTCAACAACGCTTTGAAACTGTAACTTGCAAGCCTTCTATGTGCCTCTCTATAGAAAACGACTGAGGAAAAGATGTTGTACTGGGATGATGCAGGGACGTCCGCCTGTCATGTCACCCTCCTCCCCCCTCGCACTCTGCATGGTTCTACTTCCTGTTTGTGCTGATGGTCATTCTCTCTCTTCTACGTGTTTGTGCTCATCTCTGCTCTCACGGCCGGTTAGCGAGCTGCTCACAGACGAGCTGCTCACAGACGAGCTGCTCACTGACGAGCTGCTCACTGACGAGCTGCTCACTGACGAGCTCGAATGACAAAATGGGAATCGTGGAGCACGTGGCTGGACGACGTCAGGGTGTTGTTGTCGCAGTCGGAGAATCTACGTCATCTTCTCGCCTGTTAATATTTTGTTACTGGGTTTGTGTCCGTCCTCGCTGAGTTCTCGTCCCTTTAGCTTTTGAGCGATTGAATCTTAGATGTACAATCTACGAAGAGAAGGATCCTGTGACATGAATGCAGGTTAAATTACCGTAATACTTATAACACAATGATGTCAACTGTTTTAAAGTTAGCAGCTTTAAATTTGAGCAGGGTGTTTAAAGGTGTATTTTTATTTGTTTTGGCCACATGGGGGCAGCAGAACCAATTGTAACACATCAAACTTTTCACAATGTTCAAAGATGAGACGTCTCAAAATGTCCGTCCGTGATCTCCACAGCTTATTCTCTGCAGGGTCTCTGGTGGGGACTGGTTGGAGACATTAGAGCGAGGGGTGGGGGGGGGCTCTGGACAAATATGCAAATACACCTGTAATGTGTAGAACCAGAACCAGAACCAGCTCGTACACTTTATCTTCAGTACATCCGGTGGTTTCTTTATTTTTCTGACGAGCTTCACTCCGTCTTGGTTTTTATTCTCCGCTTCACGCTGCTCATTTCACCACCGTCCCGTCTCCTCTGGTGGCGAAGCTGCGTCAGAGGTTCGATTTCTGTCTCTCAGACAAACCTCAGTGTCAGTCACCGCGCCGAGGACGCCAGGGCTCCGTCATCAGAACATTACTGTGCCAAAGATGGCAGCAAACGCCTTCCGTGTTTCATGTCATGAGGATATTAGCACAATTCAAGTCTTATTTCTAGATTCAGACCGGCCTGAACACGAGGTCTGTCAGGATCTGCCATCTTGTTTTCTAACCCTCGGAGCCCTGGTGAGGGCGCTGTACCAGAATCCTCCTTGTTCGTCACACAACCGGCGTCGTGTGACCAAAGAGACGCAGCAGAGAGTCGAGGGCTGAGGGGACGGGGGAGTCTTTGAGGAGACCCCCCTTGCTCCGTGAGAGAACTCATCCGGACACTCTGACATCCCACCTGTAGAAACTAACAAGCTGCCCCTCCCCCTCCCCCAGGTCGCAGTGATTCAGGCGTGTGCAGTTTCTGTGGGCGTTAAAGTGCCTGATGATGCTTTCCTGTGACGAACACGTGAACTTTTAAACTCTTCTCCGTCATCGTGATTGATGCTTAAACACTGTTTTTGTCCTGTGGTTCCTCTCGGGGACTCGCTGCGTGTTGCTGGGATGTTTTGCACTGTACCGAGGAGCCGCATCGCACAGCGGCAGGTTACGAGTGTGTCGCTGGAGGAAAACGCTCAGCCTGAAGGTTTGCAGCCCACGTGGATGTCGTGTCACTCTGAGACATCTCGTGGTTTTTCTGAGAGTCGTAAAGTTCTGACTTTTTTAAAAATGAAGCTGTGATTCTGTAAATTCTCAAACAGCAGCTGAAGTTTCTTCTCTCCCCGACGACACCAGGCTTTTCTTTAAAAACTCTATTTATTGTTTGTCGATGTTGTTTTGTTGTGAAAACGTTTCAGGGCCAGTCTCCGTTAACATCCCCTGAAAACTTTACCTGCAGCTCTGCCATGTGCACACACCTGCTGGCAGAAATGTTGCTCAGTAGCACCTCCGGTGGTCAAAAACTCAAAAGTAAAGCAGGAGCCACAAAATATCCTGATGTTTATCATAGATCCAGATTCTGATGATGACAATTTATTTTCTGTTTACAAAGTTTAAATATATATTTTTGATCAATATCTTAATGATTATTTCCAGCAATAGTAATTTTATTATATAAATTGTACTTCTGGCTGTTTAAACATTTTTCGTTTGCTTTCATTTTTGAATTTCTACGTCAAAGATTTATTTTAAGGGGACAAACGAGATGTCGGAGCTTCTGTGAGAAAATCAAACGTGTGATGATGAGGCAACAAAGAAATAAAAGATAAACTCGATGAAGCTGTTTTGCTTTATTTTCAGTTTATTTATATATTAGTTTAGTTTCTTTTGAGTTTATTTGCAGCAGTTTTTCAAAGGAGCAGTTTGACAGATATCATGTGAAACCACAGAAAATATGATTAGAGTAGATGAATCTGCTGTCAGAGACTATAAAGACGTGCATGGGTCTTTGATTAGTGTGAACATTTAGTTTCTCCTTCGTTTTATTCTGTTGTTTGAGAATTTACAGCGTCCACGCGTCGCGTCATCGTATCTGGTGGAGAAGATGTTTGTTCTTTGAAGGTAAAAAATGATGATGTCGTGAAATTTCTTTACTGATTCAGAGTTGATCAAATGTAAACGTCCGAGCTGCTCTCAGAACCTCGTAACTCAATAACTGGTTTGCTCGATCTGTAATCGGCGGTAATGAGAAACGAGTTGAGTCCAATCACGCGTCACATGGTGTGGTCCTGTGTGTGTGTGTGTGTGTGTGTGTGTGTTGATTCCCGTCCACCGCTCTTTTTGTGGCTTGCTCTCTCACCTGCTGATTAAACCTCGGTCACTGGGGGCAGGACGTCCGAGTGGATGTGATCATTGTCAGTCTGAGCTGATGTGAGCGTGCAGCAGCCGGCACGTATCTCTGGATGAGTTCTCCAGCAGACGAGCGGCTCAGACTGGCTCGGAGAGAATCAGAGGAAACTTTGCTCACCTTCCTCATCCTCACATTTGAAGCAGGAGATGAATCAAAAATCCGAGTTAGAGGGAAACTTCCAGATTCCTGTTTACAGATGAAGCTCTGGAGTGTAAATCTGTCGTTCGTGCGTGAACCGTGCTGAGGTTTCCTTTGTTCTTATTGCACATGTGATTCATGGAGCTGTATGTGACCTCTGACCTTCTGCGCTGTTGTGTTCTTCTTGAATTCGGGGGTGGGGGAAGTGTCCGGGCCGGTTCTTCAGAGTGAGACGTATCCAGAGATGCCACTGTACGTGGATGAGGGTCTTTCTTTGCTGTCGAGTGGGCGTGTGGGGAGGGTCGTCACGGCTACAGCTCCTCGCCCCATGGGAAGTGAAGTTCTCAGTATATTTACGTGTCTCTAAAGCCTCTGCTATAAAGACTGATGACTGTTCATTTAGAATTTCTATAAATATTTTAGATTGCTCAAACTGATTGTGTGCAATTGTAATGATGGAAATTCAATAAAAAGGTATTTTTACACAACAGGCTCCTCGTCTGATCTGTTGTGTCTCTTGTTTTCAGTTTGATTTTACTCTTCAGACTAAAAACCTTCTCTGCTCAGACGTGCTCCTGAAAAGTGACACAATAATTGGCTGAAAATTGTTAACAGGACTTGAGAGAAGACGTTAAACTGTGCACACATGATGTCGTTTAACTGGACCAGGGCGCACAGCTGCACACTCTGACTCTTAAGTCCACGATTACTGAAAGTCGTGAAATAATCACGTAAATAAAATATCTGAAAACATTTCAAACGTTACAGCTGCAGGTCGAATTTAAAACCAAACATCGACAGACATGAAGAAGCTGAAGTTTTTTTTTGTTTATCATCTTGAGACAAAACGTCTTAGTTAATATGACGGAACGACACAATTTGTCCCAGTATTTGTTAATTGTTTTAATTAAAGACTTTCAGTGTCTCATTCATTCACAGTTCTCTCAGTGTCCTGATTAAACCAATGTTCACCGTGTTCAGAGAACAGAACAGTTTACACAGTGAAGCACAGCTGAGGCCGGGGGGGCGTCGTCAGTGTCGCCGGGTTTTTAGGGAGAAAACACAAAATATTAGACAAAGTGAAATGTTACAGTCAAATTAAAATAAGGATAGAAATCCATTTCATGCAGATCCATCGAAATGATTTGACAGAATAACTGAAGTCTGTCGTACATAAAAAGAAACGTTTCTGTTTCTGTCTGAAACGTTTCTCAGCAGCTCGACAAAATTTAAACTCTGATTCCATGAAACAGTTTCAGTTTAACTGCTCAGAGTCAGTTTCTCTCTGCGGCCTCATGTGTTGTGTTGTTGTGTGTTGTTGTGATGTGTTGTGTGTTGTTGTGATGTGTTGTGTGTTGTTGTGATGAACTCTCTCCTGGAGGCCTCAGACGCTGGGAACTGGACTCATTGAACTTCCACCTCACATACAGTACGGGTGAGTGTGTGTGTGTGTGTGTGTGTGTCGGTGAGGGGGGGTGAGGATGTGACGTGCAGAAAAACAAAAACACAAAATGAAAACACAGAATCTCCTGCCCCCCCCTCTCCCCTCCTCTGAGATAACCATAAACATTGTGCAGAGATCTGATTGGACGAGCGTGTGAAGAACCACAGAGCAAACTACCTGCGACTCCTCGTTTCTCACACACCACCTGCTCCTGTTTTGACGCACATCCACCCCCC